AGTTACCAAACGATTTCACTTGGGGACTTTTCCTTCCTCTGTTCCCTGACGCTTGGCATAGCTTTCTCCTGACCAGTTGAATCATTGCACTTTCTGGTTTGGTTCCTGGGATAAGACTTGCCTGGCCTCTGGTTTAAAATCCATTCTGTTCTGTTCTCATCCCTGGGTTATGGCCTCTGTGCTCCCTGACGTAAAAATCCTCTTCTGTACTGTTTGGTTTGTTTCAGAGAGCTCTGTTAGAACGGGTGGTGCAGCCTCAGTTCCTGGGGACAGTCCCTCGGAACATGTTCTGGCAAGCTGAACTGACCATTATGCTTCTATTAAAAACAAAAATAGCGTGTGCCCCACACTCAGGAAATACAGGGTTATAAAGGGTTTTTTGCCTCCCACCCCCCACATATGTATGTTTGTGTGGTCAAATGTGTACATGCAGTTAGGTATACATACACATGGGTGCACCACCACAGAGTCCTGAGGCTGTGGTGAGATGTCTCCACTGATCCTTCTCCACGTTATTTATCCAAGCAGGATCTCTTGTTGAGCCTGGAACTCCTCGATTCCAGCTAAGACTGACTACTGAAGTGTGGTGGATTCTGGCAAACTTGACCCAGGTGCCCCACCCCCACCCCAGCCTCCCATGCTATCTTAACTGCCAGGTTTTTAAGTGAGGCCTGGGGCTCTGTGCCTCACACCTGCACACGTCCGATATCCCCTGGGCCATCTCTCCAGCCTGATTCTTAGGCTGTGTGTTTCCCTTCTGTCTTCTTCCTTAAACAAGACAACTCACTGTCTAAGGTCGTTGGAAGTTCTGTTATCTTGGCTAGCTCTTGATGAAATGTAATATTTTATACCTTGCAGACTTGTGAAACAAAGAAAAATATAAAAGAGTCTTTTTAAAAATCCAAGCAACAATAAAGTTTGCCTAAAACTTGCAACAGATAAGAACTTTATAAACTTTGAGTGGTGGTACGCACCTTTAATCCCAGCACTCAGGAGGCAGAGATAGGCAGACCTGTGTGAGTTCAAGGCCAGCCTGGTCTACAGAGTAAGTTCTAGAACCCAGGACTACACAAAGAAACCCTGTCTCAAAAAAAACAAAACAAAACAAAAACTTTATAGTTTAACAATATATGGACAGATAATCTTAATTTGTTATAGTGTGTCATGAATGTTTCTTGGACTCAATTCAATTCTCTCTCTCTCTCTCTCTCTCTCTCTCTCTCTCTCTCTCTCTCTGTGTGTGTGTGTGTGTGTGTGTGTGTGTGTGTGTATATGCATTGTGTGTGGGGTGTCTGAAATCACAGACAATAAAGTAACAATATAAGGAGGCAAAAAGGTAGTTTGTACAACATAACGGAGTAGCCAATGTTGTTTTAAACTTTGGGAGTCTGGTCCTGAGTGGTTTATTTAAGGAATTTTGTTGTTGTTGTTTGATTTTTGAGATGAGACTTCTCTGTGTAGCCCTGACTGTCCTGGTATTCACTCCGTATACCAGACTGGCCTTGAACTCATGAAGATCTGCCTGCCTCTGCCTTCTGAGTGCTAGGATTACCACCAGGCTATTTTAGGAATTTTTAAGCATGGCACAATTTGGTGAAAAATTTTCCTGGTGATAACTCAATCCCATGTATACAATAAAGCCTAAGTCAAGATTACATTGATTGACAAGCTCATGATAAGGGTTTGAGGGAGGAGCCCATGTGATATGATTTTATATATACATACATACATTTATTTATATATATATTTGCTTTGTTTTCAGCTGTTTGTCACCATTTTGGCTATTTAAGAAACCAAGTCTTAACAAAGTCAGAGTTTATTTAAGTACCTGCTAAATTAAAGTTGTTTAAGTTTGTGCTAAAGTCCACTTGCTAAGCTTTGTACAGCCTCCTAAGCATGGCCATTCTCAGTCTGTTGTTGCCCACAGTTTTGGTCCTTGGTTAATTTATGATTGTATGTTGTATTCTTCTTATAAGATTGGGTTGTGTACTGCACTCTGCAGAAGTCCAGCTCCTGACAAAGAATGTGGTGATGTCCTAGGATCTGAAGATCAGGACAGACAAAATTAAATTCAAGAACAGACCCCAGGTGGGCTTAGCCTAACAGCCACCCCTTTATAGCTCCTACTTACTTAGGGTTAACCATACAAATTGTTTTCTGTGCGTCTTTTGTTTGATTCCACTACTCCTTGATATCTGTCAGTCACCCTCCACCCCCTAAACTGTGGATCAGATCAGACCAGTAACAAGGGACAATCCAGGTCAAACCACCAGCTAATCAATGATGTCTTCAAAGGCGGGGGATTGTCAGAGTCAGAAGAGACTCAGTGTGGACACAATGGTTTCTGCTAGATTTCTATTGTCTGCAGAAAGCCAAACCTCTAAGCCAAGGTAGTGATGTAGTCCTAGAATTCAAGTATTTGAAAGGCTGAGGCATGAGGATCCTGAGTTTAAGGCCAGCCCAGGCTACATAGGGAATCACAGGTCAAAGTCAGTTACATAGTCAGACATGGCCAAAGATTCACTTGCCCAGGCTTTTGCAAATGTAGCAGTTAAATATTGATAATAGAAAGTGTAGGCTCTGAAGAAACGGCTCAGTGGGTAAGAGCATTGTGTGGGAAAGCAGGGGTGCCTGAGATCAAATCTAAATAAAATTCAGGTGTGGCTGCATGTGCCTATAACCCCAATGTTGGAAGTGGGTACAGAAAGATCACAAGAGCTTGATGGACAGCCAAGCAGACTATTGGAAATGGCTAGCCCCAGGCTCAGTGGGAGAACTTGTCTCAAAAATAAGAGAAAGTGACAGAAGACACCCAATTTCATCCCTTAGCCTCCCCATGAGCACATACATCTGAACACATGTGCATAGTCCCCGTGAGCGCGCACGCGCGTGTGTGTGTGTGTACACACACACACACACACACACACACACACACACAGAAATTTTTAATGTGTTGAGCTATAAATCACTGGAGAATTATTTGACTCGGTATTGAATACAGGTTTGAAAGGCAAAGTATCAACTTTTCTTATCTATATTCACCTTTCTCATAATGTAACCTGAAGCATATATACAGAGAAACAATAACACCTTTGAGATTGGGGGGCAGGGGCTTGTTTGGTTGGTTTTTGTTTCTTTGTTTGTTTTTGAGACACTGTCTTATGTAGCCCAAGCTGGTCTTCAACTCTCTGTGTAGCTATGGTGACCTTGAATTCTCAATCCTCTTGCCTCTTCCTTCCAAGAGCTGGTGTTAGAGGTGTGTACCGTACCACTATGCCTGGATTTTAGATTTTTATATGTGCATGCTAGGCAAGTGCTCTAACAACTGAGCTACACCTCCAACTCCTTGTTGAATTTTAAAAAGAATGTTTAAACGTTTATTTGTCTGTTTGTTTGTGGTATGTGTGTCCGCACACATGTCCATACATACATGCTCACACCCTGGTGTATGTGTGAAGAGACGAGGAGGAAACTTACCATGTGGGATCCGGGGATTGAACTCAGGTCATCAGGCTTGGCAACAAGCACCTTTACTCATGGAGCATCTTTCCAGCCTCCCATTTTTTAGTATGTTTGAGGTTTTATTTACTTAAAATCTTTGCTTTATCTGGAATTTACTTTGGCATATCTTCAGTGTAGTTTCACTTTTTAAGATGAAATCTATGTTTTTTTTTCTTTTAAGATTCATGCTGAGGTATCATTATGTTCTTAGAAATGTCCTAGGGGACCACATGGAGGGGGGTGTGGCTGGAGTATCACACACCCCGGGGCAGTTGCAACCTAAATAACAGGTTCTCCAAAGACCATGGATTACCTGGGAGTAACACTGCAACAGGAGTTTCCTGCCAGCGTAAATGATGTGAGTAGTTAAGGAGGCTGAGGCAAAGGCCAGGCAAAATACAGGTCACTACCTGTGCCATTGAAAAATAGTCCTTGCCTCCAGGGATCAATCAAGCATTGGACTGGTCCATTTTTTGGATGGACAGTTGTTAGGCATCTTGAAGCAGAAAAAAAAAAAATCTCTGTGCCAGGTTGTGGTCCCTTCAGAGTCTTGGTATAGTTTCTCCTCCTTCTCTTCCTGCCCTACACCTCCTCCATTTGTTTGCTTTGAGACAGGCTCTCACTTCACAAGGCAGCCCAGGCCTGAACTCACTCTAAAGCCTCCGCTTGCCTCAAACTGGAAACAGTCTTCCTGCCCTGGCCTCCTGAGTACTGGGCATGGAGCTCAGGTAGCAGTAGAGCACTTGGCCAGCATGTATAAGGTCCTGGTCCAGGCCACACGCACACATAATAGCAAATAATATAAAAATATAATATAATTCTATTTTACCTCCAGTAAAATACAGACCTACACGCCTACAGCCCCAGCTCTTTCTGTTAAAGTAGCCCAGAAAATGTAAGTTTGTGTTGTCTCGTGCAAAGGTGTTCTCACCCTTAAGGGCCGTGCATCATTGGCAGCTGGGTGAGTAAACCAGTTGATGTAACCCAGAGGCTCAAGCACCCTCAGGTGGACTTGGGGGAACCTCCAATGCCCTTCCCGGAGGCAACCGCCTCAGGATGCATCCAGAACTTTCCTCTCTAATTAGGCTTGTGTAAAACTTGGGCATCCAATGGAAGCAAAGTTCTTCACAAAATTCCTAAACCTTTCTTAAAGGATACCTTTTTAAGCCTTTGCCCCCAAAATGTCAGTCCCAATAAATTGTTCTCACAGACTTAGAAAGTTAAATACACAGTTTATTTCTCTTCCCCAATCAAGAAGGATGTTGCTTGCTTTGCTTTTATTTTTTTAATCTTTTGAGAGGAGGCCAAATTCTAGCAAACAAACCAACTTGGAATTCACTATGTAGCCCAGGTTGGCCTTAAACCCAAGCCTCCCAAGGGCTGGGATTACAGGTGTGGGCCACTATAGTTAGTTAAGAGGTTTTTTTCTTGTTTGTGTTCTTGGTTTGTTGTTGTTTGAGTCAGTCTTGTGAAGTCCAATCTGGCCTCACATTTCCTAGGTAGCCGAAACTTCCCTTGAACTCCCGACCCTCCCGTCTCCATCTCTCACGTGCTAGGATCACTGACTTGCTACCACACCTGACACACCTGACTAAGGATTTTCTCTATTAGAGTTCTCCTCTTCTACACCACCTCAGCAGTGAAGCACGCTGGCCCTTTAACAGGTGAGCAGGAGGCAGAGCAGAGCCTTCAAAGGCTAGGAGAAGCAGACAGGCCCTGGCCCAGGCTGCCATGGCTAACCTTCATGAAAAGGTGGTGGGTGTCGAGGCTGCCATGGCTAACCTTCATGAAAAGGTGGTGGGTGTCGGCAGCAGGGTGTCGTCACTGTGCCCAGAAAGTGGTTGGTTGTATTCTTCCAGTGCTTAGCCAGACCCCTAGCTTCTGTCCCTCCTTGGAGCTGAGCTGCTGCGGTGGAAGGGTGGGGGCTATGTATATCTGAGAGCTCAGACTCTTGCTTCTTGAGGCCTTGGGTCAATAATTCTCTGCCCACAGTGCTGAAAGGAGACCATGGATGTGTTGGGGGCCATCCCATCCTTATCGAGGAAGAGAATATTTCTGGATCTCTTCTCTGTCCCAGGTTTCCCTTCCAGAGGCTTCTCTATCAGTGGGGGACACAACTGGCAAGGAAGCCCAACAGGCTGCCAAGATGAGATGCCTTGCAGGTATTCCTACGTGGGCCGGGTGTCTACATAAGATGTCCAGGGGTACACAGGCAAGAGATACACATCAACAGAGTTGAGAAACCAGGCTCGGTAACCAAGACTGAACGGTCTTCCATGGCTAGCTACTGAGATAGATTTTTCTGGGCTTTTGTTTTTCTTGCCATCGTGGAAAGAAAAACTTATCAGCAATGCTGACAGTGCTGTATGGCGTTCAGTAACTGTGCAGTGTAAAGTATGGAGCATACAGGGTTAAGTTGCTCTGAGTTGGGACAGCTGAGACTAGCTCATTTAAAGAGGCATCAGAAGGGCTTGTTAGATTAGGAGGAGCCGGAGGAGCAAGACGCCTGCTGTATATCCATCCATTCAGATCACAGAAGTGGTGTGTGCTCAATGAAGGGGTTTGGTGTCGGCCAAGTGCCCTTCATGTTCATGGTGGCTCACTGGAGAGTGTCCTGGGGGAAGGGGGTTAAAACAGCACGGAGGTGGTGTTTAAAAATGGCTTCTGAACTGAGCTTCTGAACCGAGTGTCAGCTTGTCTAGATCTGCATTCTCACACCAATGTCTCCATCTTCTTCCACAGGCCTGCACTTACACCAGAGGCCAAGCAAACTCTCTGTTCCCTTGGCTCCTAAGGAAGGCTCTGCCTTCCACCTGGAGGAAGTGGAAGAGGAGAATGAAGAGGAAGATGTGTGTTCAAATCAGGCCCCAGATGTGGAGGAGGAAGGGGCTGATCTTGGGGATCCAGCCATACTGAGTGCCATCCAAAATATCCAAGTACCACGGCAGGTAGGGTAGAGAGAGCAGTCCTGAACTTGGGCGTTCACAGTCTGCCACTCAACACTCCTCTCGTGACCTCTGCTTCTTTAAGACCCATTTTGAATTAACGTGGTTTATTTCAGGCACGACACTGAACTGAGGCTTTTTTCTCCCCTCTTTCCTCTTGTCTCCCATTGAAGTGTCTGCAGCTGTCCTTTACCTCAATCAGGTCCTAAGCCAGGTGCAGTGGGGCACACGTGCAGTCCGACCACTAAGACTCCTGAGAAACAGAAGGATCATGACTTGCCCCCAGTCTGGATTATACAGAGAGACCAGGTCACAGACAGACAGACAGACTACACACACACACACACACAGCCTGAAGCCAAGCAAACAACAAAACTCCACAAGGCCGGGGTGGGGGAGGGGCAGGAGGGTGGGAACTCAGTTGGTAAAGCCCTTGTCTTGCAAATGTCAGGACCTGACCTCAGATCCTCAGAACACATGTAAAGCCCTGTGCACAGCAGTGTGTGCCTGTAATCTTAGCCACTGCGAGATGCGAGGGTGGACAAGAGAGACCTTAGAACCTTACAGCCAGCTTGCCCAGCTCGCCCAGCCTATGTGGCAAAGTTCCCAACCAATGAGAGATCCTGTGCCAAGAGGAAGGTGGAAAGAGCCCTGTAGATCAACATCTGAGGTTATCCTCTAACACACACACCGTGCACATGCATGTATACCTACACACACACGTGTGGACACACAATCCCAGCAGAGTCCTTGTCTCCCATAGACAGTAGCCCTGCTATTGGTGAGTCACTTTTGTTCTAGCCTTGTGTCTTGGCAGGCCATTCCTAGTATTTGATCTTTAAATTCACATGACCAGTGGAGAAAGACAAGGACTTCCAGTAGAGGTTAGGTGCAACCTACTCCTAAAATGTTAGTTATCTTCTCAGGAGGAGGAAGGATTCTGGACCATTTGGCCTTGAGGATGAAGGGGGAAGCCAGGCTGTTACTGTCCTGGCTGTTGGAAAGTTGGCTTTGCTGGCCCCAGCCGTGTTCCCATGGTAACAAGAGCAGAAGACAGTGTGGGGATCCACTTGAATCTGGCATTTCTTCCTTTCTGTTCCAGAGAGGGCTGCACGGTTCTCCTGGAGCCAAGGCCCCTGGTGCCCCGGAGATGTCACCAGCCTCCTTGCGTTTTCTGTGGCAGGTGAGTCTGTTCTGGTCTCCATCCTGTGAGGAGGTGACTGAGTGGCCAGAACATTCCATTCCTGGAAGGATCGAGTGTCCCTTGCTTCCATTATGCTCAATCCACCCATCTCCTTGCCCTGGAGATGAAGTACTCAGAATGACGTATTGGTCTGGGGTGGACAGCCACATCATGTAGAAGAGCTTGGTAAATGGCAGGTGGTGCAGGATGGCCTTAATAAGTGCTACAGGAACAACTACCACTCATACAGAATGGGACCAACTATAGATTCCTGTGAGCGGATGATCAAGTACTGCACTTAGGGGCAGGAAAGGCTACTGCTATCCATGAACCACAGAATAGTGTGAGAGCTGAAGACTAGGAACTCCTGTAGGGAGAGCTATAAGGTAATTGAGCTCTGCTGAGGGCTTGGGAAAGGCAGAAAAAAGGCAGAGGAGCCTGCCCTGGGTAGCTGAAGACAAAACACCAAAGCATAAGGGTTGTTCAAGAGCACATCCTCCCCACCCACCCTCGGAGACTGAAAAGGCCCCTCCTAGGAGGTGCCAAACTGTCAAAGGCAGGAAGCAGTCTCCACAGCTGCCTTGAGGGTCCCTGCAACAAAGCAAAACATTGGGCAAAATGGTTGAGGGGAAGAGGCAGGCGAGGAGCCCAGAGGGCAGTGACTGAGCAGGGGCAGCATTCCCTCCTCGCCCCTTATCCCCTGACTACCTATCGCCAATTCCTTTCCAGCCTGCGTTTCCAAGAGCCAGCTCTCCAGCCTGCCACTTTGGACCTCGACCGCCTTCGCCCGATCCTTTTCTGTTGTACAACCCACTGACTCCGTGGCCCCCTAAACTCAGGTACCAGTGACAGGCTGCATTGTGAGGACAAGCTGAGTGCTTCCTATAGGTCACAAGGCATGGCGGCCAAGGACCACCTCTGTCGCCGTTTATCAGCTGCCACAGAAAAACACTTAGATTCACTGACAAAAATCGGGAAGCACAGTCCAGTGTCAGCTCCCTGGCAGCTGAAGAAACAGAGCCCCAAGGAAATTACAGAAGTGAGGTCAGCTACCCTGACAAAGCTGAGGCGAGGACTCACAACTGCTAAGAACCACCCCAAAAGGCTGCCTGCTGTGGCTAGACTGTCTGTAGTCAAATTACAGAAAAACATGTCTTGGGATGGGGAAATGAGGATTGGGATGCTTTCTGCTTTTTGATTTGGGAGGGGGGGGGTGTAGATGCCTAGGGCTGCCTTAGATGTTCACTGACGTACCTGGTCTGAAGGGATGGAAGGGTTGGTGTACAGAGCAGAAGTTTTCCCACTCCGCTGATTTCCTTTTAAGCCTTCCCAGTCATCTGACCCAGCTCCACCCTCAGCACCAACAGATCCTACTGCGGCAGCAGAGCCAAACCGTGAGGTAAAGCCTCAATGGGGAAGCAGTCTGCATGCATACTGGGTATTTCCTTGTGACTAGCCATCTGCCCCCACTGCATAATGGTACTCCATCACTGCTACCCAACACTGCACCTTCCGGTCCTTCCAAGAGCACCCCACTGCGTGTTCACATCTCCTTGGGAAGTCACTGTGGCAGGGCTTGCCTAAAGGGATGTTTCTGCTGGCTTGAAGTCTCCTAGCCAAGAAGCCTTGGTCTCTGAAGCCAGACGCCTATGCTAACCTCATGACCCGAAAAGAGAAGGACTGGGTGATAAAAGTACAGATGGTACAGCTGCAGAGTGAGAACCCCCGCCTGGATGATTATTACTACCAGGTGAGCTCTGGGCCCCCTGGTCCCAGCTTTTGACCTTGGCCACATGAGTGAGAACTTCTGGGCCTTCTGTGACCCTCTCTCATAGAAGCCCATAGAAGCCACATCTGTTTAGGTGCTGACACAGCACTCCATGATAGAATTCGTCTTTCTAAAGTTGGAGTCCCACACTCCTTCCCATCTAATCTCCTACATTTTGGTCAAATGGGGTTATTTACTGTTTGCTAAAGTACCCAAGATTTGTCTCCATCCTTTTGAGAGGTTCCCTTGTCTACCCTGGAAATGTGGGCATGTCCACTTCTGTGCACTTTTTTGTAAATGCCCACACACTTGCCTGCTCCCTGGACCCTCAGGAGTACTATCAGAAGCTAGAGAAGAGACAGGCAGACAGAGACCTGCTTGGACAGAGGAAGAGGGCTGAGTCTCTCAAGCTGGTCACACCTTACATCCAGAAGGCAGAAGTGTATGAGTCAGGTATGGCCAGACTGTGGCTTGGGCTGGATATCTGGGTGTATGTGTGCCCTATAGAGAAGCATGTTCCTCCCGGCTCTCTTTATGCAGTGGTACGAATTGAGGGTTCCCTGGGCCAGGTAGCGGTATCAACATGTTTTAGCCCTCGCCGAGCTATTGATGCTGTTTCTCATGGAACTCAAGAGCAGGTAGGAGTGTGTGATCGTTCTATAATTTTTTTTTTCTGGTCCCTGCTGTCTAGAACACATTCGTGTTTGGGGTTTAAACATTCTTACATTGTGACGTAAGGATGAGGAAGCAATGTGGTCAGACTTTGTATCTAGCCTTTTCCAGCTGCATTGATGGTGTGGCTGAGGGCCAAGGACTCTTTGTGCCTAGGATACAGGAGCTGCAAGCAGTCAGAGGCTCCGAGTATTATCCCTGATTGAGAAGGTGAGATAAGCTCACTGCTCCGGAGAAGCTCTTGTCTAAAATTTTAAAGATAGGATATTGGTCAATTAACCACCCCACCCCCATCAAATTCCCAGATGTTCCTCCAGTTACTAGAGATAGAGGAGGGCCAGAATGATGGGTTTCCACAACTCTGCCACTCGGGGGAACAGAGCAACCAGGTTGAGAAGCTCTTTCAGGCCTTAAAGACCCAGGAGCAGAACAACCTGGAGTGAGTATGAGAGTCCCACCTCGGTCTCAGAAGAGGAGGGCCAGCAGTCATGGGGACTTGCTGCTGGCCGGAAGCCGTCCTTCCCAGTGCAGCTCTCAAAAACGCTCTCCTCTCTCCTGTAGGGAGACAGCAGATAGCCTCCTGCAGGTGCTGTCGGTGAGGAAAGGGAAGATTTTGGTGGCTCGGCTGCTCCCCTTCTTGCCCCGTGATCAAGCTGTCAGCCTTCTCCTGTATATCACCTACCACCTGCCCCTCCTGATCCTGAAGGACATGCCTGACCAGGTGCCGTGACGATGAGCAGCAAAAAGGGTGGTCTCGATGGGGTCGGAGTCTTTCCCCGCCTCCGTTCCCTCCCTCCCTTCCTACAGATGCCAGCAAGAAGTAGAGTGGTGCTGCCCACCCCTCAAATAAGGACGTTACAGAACAAACGACCATAGCCCCAGTAGACCATCTTCACATAGGATGAGCAAGGGAAAGCAGGTGGAGGGCTGTACAGGTGTGTGTGTGCTATGAGTTTGAGACGACTGAGTCTCATCTACTTCCATAGAAAGCCAACGTAAAATAAGTCGGTACTCTAGGGCTCTGTTCCGACTAGAGAGCTATGAGCAGTGTTAGGCCTGGCAGGCAACCTGACCGGCAAGGTGTCTAAAGCCGGTCAGCCAGGGAAGGAACTGGAGGCAAAGGATGAGGAGATGAAGTTGCAGTAGAGTTGGGAGAGATATTTACTGATTTTCCTGCAGGCTCTACACATACTGTTCAAACCTCTGGGAAAATACATCAGTCATTTGACCTTCCGTCAACTCCTCCATGGACTGCAAGGTCTAATGTTGCTACCGCCTGGCTCCTCAGAGCGGCCGATCTCTGTGGTACTTCAGAATCAGGTGATATATCTGGGACACTTTTCTTTCCACAGATGGCTTTTGGTGTTTTGGGGATTTTTTTTTTTTTTTTTTTTGAGACAGGTTCTCACATAGCTTAGGTTGGCCTAGAACTCTCCATTGTAATCAAGGATAGCCTTGAACTCATGATCTTTATGTTGACATGTGCCACCATGACAGGCCTCCCATAGATGATTTCTAAATGGCACTACTAGAAATAATCAAGATAATAGTCTCATCTCTGCACAAATCTTCTCAGTAGCACTTCTCAATGTCTAGTGAGAACTGGATGTGGTATACTCCTAGTACTCAGGAAGCTGAGGCAGAAGGATCATGAGTTCAAGATCAACTTATGCTTCATAGCAAGCATCAGACCACTCTACACCTATCTCAAAAACAACAAAAACCTTTCAGTGAGCACAGGATCATCTGGAGAGAGCTTATTAAATACCGGGTCCTTGGTCCCAACCCAGGAAGACAATGAGGAACTGTGTGTGGTGGTCTGCTTTCCCCCACTTCCTCTCTCTCTCCCCTTCCTTTCCCCATCTCTCTCCCTCTCTTTTTCTATACTGTCTGGCACTGTTGCTTGTGAGTGTATGGTGAGGCTTGTGGCGAATGCCATGGTGGCATTTAGAAAAGAGAAGTACATATCTTGGCTGTGGGATGTGGCTCAGTGGGGGGGGGGGTGCTTGTGGGGCACACATGAAGTTCTGGCTTTGATCTCTAACACCACACTGAGAGAGTATGGTAGTGCATACTTGTAAGGGAAAGCAGAAGCAAGGCTATCAGGATTTCAAGTCACCTTTGTCTTTATGGTGAGTTCAAGGCTAGCCTGGACTACTGGAGATCTGTATGGGGGGGGGGGAATGACACATCTTTTGTGATGGACTCCCTGTGGCTGCTGGTGGTGTGAGCTTCCACATCAGAAATCTCAAAACTTTTTATTGTGTATCTTTTAGAGTAAAAAAAAAAATTGGAGGCATCCCACATGCTTATAATATTAGATTTTTACTAAAGGAGAGATAAAGTATTTTATTTGTGCTGAGCATCCAAACAAGGGCTTGTGTGTACTTGGCACTCCCATAGCACTGAACCCCACCCCAGCCACATCAAGTTTTAAGTATGCCACTCTAGACTTGACAGACTCTGTCCATCTCTAGTGAATTCTCCTGTTCACTCTAATCTGTAGATCTCTGCTTAAGGTGGTACTTCTGAAAGTCTGGCCCACAGACTACCTGCTCAGAGTCCAGGCTCCATTCCTCATCTACTGACCAGTTCCTCCACTTACTCAGCTCTCAAAGGCTTGTGGAAAGTTCAGGGCAGTGATTCCTTTGGGTATGTCAGAGTTCTCTGTTTAGCTGCAAATTCTGACAGCTCTTGTGGTATTGGTCTCCATCTGGACATGCAAGCCTGTCTTTTAGGGGGAAGCCAGCAAAACCAGAGAAGCAAAAACCACCTAAGTGAACTCATTTTGTCTTGAACTGCCTATCATTCATAGTTCGGGATATCTCTGCTTTATGCCCTGCTGAGTCATGGAGAGCAGCTGGTATCCCTGGATTCTTCCCTTCAATCCAGCAGTGACTGCGCAGCTTGGTAAGATCATAAAGGCCTTGTCAATATATTCCAATATCCCTGGATGTGTAGGGTAAGCCTGATGAAAGAATTTCTACATAACATATTCAAGTACCAGGGAGGAAGCTGGGCAGAGAAAGAAGACATAGTAGAACCATATCTTCTTGGCCCCAGTTTCCCATGGGGGACAGAGTTATAGTAATTAAGGAAGACACATTTTAGAGCCAAACTGATCTGTCTATTGCAATGTAACTTGGAGACATTTCACTTCCTAGTCTGTTTCTTCGTCTGCGAGTGGTGCTATTAACTCCTTAGAGTTATTAAGATCAAATAGGAAGGAGGATGGATAGGCATTATCAGTTATGTTCCAAATGGACAGATGTCACCTCAGTGGCTATCTGGGATGGGATCAGTGGCTGCAGTGGTTCACGAATAATAAGGGATTTTGCCTGGATATGAGTTTCCTGCATCAATATAAAAGCTCCGTTGGGCTTCTCTTTTCTGTCCCTCAGGACAGACTTGGTGATTCTGGTTGCCTGGGAGATATCTCAGTTGCCCACAGCATCCCTGGCAGAACCCCTAGCCTTCCCCAGGAACCTGCTTCCCCTCTTCTGCCATCACATGGACAAACAATTAGTTCAGCAGCTGGAAGCCAGAATGGAGTAAGTGTTTACAGATACAGTCCCAGCCCTGGTCCAGGTCTGTGGATCAAATCGCTTATAAACCGTGAGCATGGAAAATGATGTGCTTTAGACAGAGTCCTATGGACT